TCATGATCTCAAAGTTCATGAAATCAAGCCCTGCATCCAGCTCTCTGCTGTCAGTGCAGAGTGCAGAGTCTGCTTGAGATCCACTGTCTCCCTCTCTCTGCCCCTCCTCTACCTCACACATGCTCTCTCTCTCAAAAATAAATAAACATTAAAAAAAATTAAAGGGGCCCCTTGGTGGCTCAGTCAGTTAAGCGTCTGACTTTGGCTCAGGTCATGATCTCATGCCTGGTGAGCTCAGCTTCACATTGGGCTCTGTGCTGACAGCTCGGAGCCTGGAGCCCGCTTCAGATTCTGTGTCTCCCTCTCTCTCTGTCCCTCCCTGCCTCGCACTCTGTCTCTCTCTCTCTCTCTTTCTCTCTCTCAAAAATAAACAAATGTTAAAAAAATAATTCAACTACAAATAGAAGCGTTTTGTGATTTTGCTTTAATGATTTTAATGTGTGCACATCAATTTTTAATCTGTTTTAGAGTGACCTGGGTTAAGAATTTGTCTTCTCATCCATCTTAAATACCTCCCAATTCGAATTTTAAAAACACTAATTTAGATTGGTTTTCCTTAATTTGTCAGAATAATATTTTACAGCAGTTCTCCGGGTAATGAAAATCCCTTTGTGCAGACAGCAGGTATGCCTTTAAGTATTGGTTGACTTTTCTGTGCACTAGTGAGTCACTGACCCTGAAGCAAGAGTGGGGGTGGTTTGCACTACAGATGTCTTAATCATCCCCATGGTAACACAGAGCCTTCTTGCCTACTACTTCTTCCCACATCTTTGTTATATTTGAAGGAGGAAATCATTATTTACTTTAGATGGTGATGTTCTGATGCTTTTCAGAACACAAATTCCTTACCTCAGCATTGTTGTGTATAAAACATTTGCCTAGCAACAATAAAAATAGTGATTATAAATGATACATTATAAAATGAAAAATACCCTGCCAATTCAACAGGATTTTAAGATTCATTTTTTTTTTCTCAATTTTGCATCACAATTACCAAGATGTTGGAATTAAACTATACTTAACTAACTGGCTAACTGATGATTCTTACATAGTTTGAAAAGGTAACCGCTAAGTACCATTATATGTTTAATTTGAAATATGTTTGCTTATAAAAAATAATTCCTGCTCTTTGTAGTTAAATTAGAAAATAATCGCAGGCAAAAAGAAGAACATTCAATAATCTAATAATCTCCCTTCCGCATAGCTTATTATGTCTTTCCAATACTTTTCCATTAAATGTATCTGTGGGTATGGTGGTGGTAGAGAGAGAAGGACAGAGAAAGAGACATAGAAAGACACACCATCCACCCTTAAGCCAATACATTTTGCCCTGTATCCCAATGTTTTCAATTTAACAACAAATTGTGGTATGGAACTATGGAATCATTACATTGTACATCTGAAACTAATATAACAGTGTATGTTAACTAAACTGGAATTAAAATTTAAAAATTATAAAAGCAAAAAAAAAACCAATATAGTGTGAACATTTTTCAAATATAAATTGGCCTTTGAGCAAGGCAGGTTTGAATAGTGAGAGTCCACTTACATGTGGATTTTCTTCAATAAATACACTACAGTACTGTAAATGTATTTTCTCTTCCTTGCAATTTTAATAACATTTCCCTTTCTCTGGCTTACTTTATTGTAAGAATATAGTATATAATACAAAATATGTGTTATTTGATTGACTATGTTATCGGTAAGGCTTTTGGTCAACAGTAGGCTATTAGTTGTTAAGTTTGGGGGGGAATCAAAAGTTATACATTATAACAAGTTATACATTATACATTTTGACTGCATGGAGGTTGGCACCCCTAATTTCCCCATTGTTCAAGGGTCAACGGCATTGACTACAGTGTCGTTTTTATTCGTTGACTAGCATAGATGCTTTGTTAAATGAATTTACCATATTTTATTTAACTAGTACACCTTTTGTTGGACATTTTAATTTTTTACTTTCTCACCAATATCAAACATAAGCCCAAAAGAAAAAGGAGATAGAAAGAGAGAGACAGGAGAGGATGGAGGGAGGGGGGAGGCAAGGAAGGAAACTGCAATAAACACCTTGTGGCACACATCATTAATTACTTCCTGAGCATATATTTTCTTAGCATTATTTTGAATTGGAATTGCAGGTTTAAAGGTATGCACTTTGCAGACATTTTGTCAAAGAACAATTGAGAACAGATTTGTACAGTTTGTAACACTGGATATTATCTTTTAAAATAATCCTTATCAATTAGATAGGCAAAGATGGTATTTTAATATGCATTTTTTATTACTGATGAAAAGGAAAACTACTCACCTTTAGCGACCCTTTTCATTCTTTTCTGTCTTACCTGTAGAAGTCCTTTACCCATTTTTCTATTTATCTCATTCTCATTGATTTGTAAGACTTCTTAGCCCTTTGTCATCCCACCCCCCACCTTTGTAAATGTAATCTCACCCCACAATGTGGGGCTCGAACTCATGACCCCAAGATCAAGAGTTGTGGTCTCTACCAACTGAGACCACCAGACACCCCACCTTTTTTCCCCTTTTAGTTTGGCATTTGTCCTTTAATTGTTTCCCTCTTCCAGTTTAGGATTTTTTCTTTTATTTGTTGGTGATTTCTTTTTTTTTAATTTTTAATTTTTAAATGTATTTTTTATTCTGAGAGAGAGAGAGAGAGAGAGAGAGAGAATCATGCTGAGTATGGGATCATGACCTGAGCCAAAATCAAGAGTCAGATGCTAAATAAACTGAGCCACCCAGGTGCCCCTATTTGTTGGTCATTTCTGAAATAATATTTAGTTTTTCATATCTTTTAAAAAGATATGCAATATAATTCCCACTCCCAAGATTATATGTGTTTTTCTATATTTTCTTTTAGTAATATTATTTTATTTTTATATTAATATCTTTAATCCAACAGGAATTTATTTTGGTACAAAGTGTATTTTTTTCCCCTCTAAGCAATTGGTCACTAGCTCCCTAACTTACTGCATAATTTATACTTTCCTTGTTGATTAGGAACGACACTTTTATTATCTATCTGCTTGGGTCTGAATAACTTTGAATTTTAACGTGAAAATATATAGCTTCTTGACAGAGCTAACCATTTTCTTTCTCAATCAGCAATTGTGTGGAAGATGAAGAGATGTCCGTTTGAATGACAGAAAGATACTGGATGAATCTCTAGCTTTTTTTTTTTTTTAATCAGAGAACATCATAAATATTTTATAATTATATCATTGCTAAAACAGACTTGTTGAATATTTTTTTAATGTTTATTATTTACTTTTGAGAGAGAGACAGAGACAGAGACAGAGTGCGAACGGGGGAGGGTCAGA